ATCCATAGTAGGGAAAGAAATACTATGGAAGTCAATGGAGACCATCGACTGTGATTACCAGCATTCTTCAAAATATCTTCTATTATGTTCAACATAAGAAAGAAACTCATATAGGTTTGGAATGACATGAGGGTGAGTAAATGATGACAAAATTTTCATTTTTGGGTGAACTAACCCTTTAACTATCTTTCCTACCGTTTTGGACCTTGAATGTATAAGTTGCATGGCTGACTGTAGAGGGACAGAAAGCTCTCAGATTTCATCAAAAATATCTTCATTTGTGTTCCGAAGATGAATAAAGGTCTTACGGGAGTGGTAAGGGTGAGTAATTAATAACAGTATTGTCAACAACAGATTTTTTTGGTGAACTAACCCTTTAAGACTCTGCCTATGGATCCAACAGGATGTGATTCACTTGCATCAAGCCAAAAACTGTGATAGGCTATAGTTGGTAGTACTATTAACACAGGTGAAGAAATATATTGTATTATCTGAGAATAAAATGACCTACTTGTTGAAGTATTTTAAGTATTTCAAATATAAAATACTGTCTCTCAAAGTATTTAATTACACATTACATTAGATTTTTTTTTTGTCCAGCAACATATGAATGACAAAATACTCAAAAGTAATTAAATACGTATTTTAAATATATTTGATTAAAATACTGCCCATCTCTGCATTGCCCCTACTTTGGAAGTTTTTGTCTTAGTATTGATTTATGTTGTTTTCCAGTATAAATTTCTAAAAATTGTTAAATCAAGATACATTTACAGAAAAGCAAAATTTAGTAAGTCACATACAAAGTATTGTTTTCTGAAAAAGTATCTGCCAAACTTAACTCAAGGGGATATTCTTATCCCACTGGCAGATATTTTTTCAGATTTAACACTTTTTTTTTTGAAAGAACTTAAAGGAATAGTTCACGCAAAAATGAAAATTAAGTTTGAGTTTGTATCATGAGAACAGAATTGGAAAAATTCGTCAAACGCCATTTACAAGCGAAAACAGTCAAACTGTTCTAAACAAATGTCAGTGGATTTTGATGTGACAGGACAACAGAGGATGGACTTTTTCACTGGAGAAAGCAATATTATGGATAGATGACTCGTATTTTGGCCAGAAGCAACAGTTTAAAGTTAAAACGCATTAATGATGAATTTGTTTCTTACAAACACATAGCTTTTTGCTTCACAATTAGTTAATTGATGGACTGGAGTCATGTAGATTATTGTGATGTTTTTATCAGCTGTAAACTCCTTCTGACCCTATACACGTCTATGATACTGACGGCACCCATTCACTGTAGAGGATCCATCGGTGAACAAGTAATGTAATGCAAAATTTCTCCAAATCTGTTCCAATGAAGAAACAAACTCATCTACATCTTGGATATCCAGAAGTTGAGTAAATCGTCAGCACATTTTCATTTTTGGGTGAACTAATCCTTTAAAATCTAGTCATTTTGCTTAAGTAAATGTTTCATGATGTATGAATGTTTAGACACTTGTAGAAAACAAGATACTGAGCAAGAAAATCACTTTGCAGTGCAAAAACCCGTCTGTGCTAACAGATCAGATAAAGTTGTTTATAGAGTTTAAGTTTTATTCTAACATGTGAAAACTCTTTAAATGTCTCTGATTCACATCTGACTCTCAGCACATGCATCCTATGGATAAATTTTGTGTTAACAGTCACTTGAATGCAGTCTTTGGTTTATGACTGATTGACATCAGCCTCTGTTGGTTTAGTCCTCAGCAAATTTACGACCACTATTGTGAGAACGCCCCTTGCTGAAGAAGTCGGTTCGGAGGAGGCGGTAGAAGTAGATGAGAATCATGATGTTCATGAGCATCATGGTTATCAGGAAGTAGAGGGCATGATCCAACGATGAGTAGTGGTGTATTAGGTACCAGGTGAGGTAAAACTGTGCTCCAAGCCGGAAGGTCACGTAGGTCACCACATTGAACAGTTTGTTAACGGTGTAGATGAAAGAGTTGTGGGCCACCTTAGCCAGTTTGAGCAATAAACGTGTGTGTAGGAACACACTGTTCACCTCCACAAATAAAGCCACCACTGCACCTGCCACATACTGATGAGTGAACACAGCATACACGAAACACCAGATCACCTACAGGAAAACATAACAGAGATTTACAGTTAAAACAAAACATAAATAGATATCACCATACATCCTGATTTGATTGATTAAATTAAGAATGGATCCTTTTAGCAGACTGTGAGGATGCAGTTATTAACATTGTAAATCTAGCAATGTTATACTTTGTGCTTTCTTAACTGGGCCTTAAATGACAGAAAACTGGTTAACACTGCTGTGTGAGTGTTTCTAATATACAGTGACAGCAAATTTGACAACTTTCTTCTGACTGACGTAATCTCACAATAATTTCTTCCTCTTTTGTAAAGTTATAGAAATGCTATTATGGTCCCCATCCCCCCATCCCCCCATCCCCATCCCATTGGAGCAAATGGGAAAGCAAAAATGTTATTTCTTGTAGTTTCTGTTCACCGCTATAAAAGTTCACCAATCTGTGATGACTTTCACTTCTGAGAACCCTGGAAATGTGATTACAAGTCTATTACAAAAGTTTTTGTATTACATATATTCTGAAATGTTATATTTATCTAAATATGCACTAATTGGCATACATTTCCAGAACAGAAATCTAAACATTGGATCAGGATCAGAATCAGAAAGAGCTTTATTGCCAGGTATGTTTACACAAATGAGGAATTTGTTTTGGTGACAGCTTCCACAACACAAACAGAATGACAGTGACAAGACACAGACAATAAAAAGAATAAAAATTGGACAAGTAAATAATACATACATACATACATCTTTTCTTTTGAAAAATACACAATATACAAAGTAAACAATAGATGGTATTTGTATGTACAGGTGTGTTATGTACAAATGCAAGGAAATATAAAAAGAGGTATGCGTGTTAAATAAATAAATGTATAAATAGTGTTGTTTATCACATGTTTATTGCCAAGTTAACTGTTCAGGAACTGTTCAGTCTCATGAACCGTTAACTTGGCACCACCTCCTGATCAGTGCGTAGGTCCCCCACTACCCTGGTTTGCATATGTGTAGCTCACAGCATAGAAATTTACATATGAAAGCTTCACTTAGGCAGAGGGGATGGGAAGCATTGAGTTTAACTGCCAAGCCAATTCCACATCAATTATCGGCAGTTCTCAACAATTATCTGTGCTGCCTGCACATTCCTGTGAACAGTCGTTAACCAGAAACTTCCATGACAATTTAGTGCCGTTAACTAACGAAAATCACACTTTCCATGCAGTGTGAGGGAAGAAACAGTTCTTATGCCTGGCATTCTGCTGCTCAGTGCTCTGTAGCACCGACCAGACGGCAACAGTTCAAAGAGGAATTGGGCTGGGTGTGAGGGGTCCAGAATGATTTTGCCAGCTCTTTCACTCACTCTGGATGAGTGCAGTTCTTGGAGAGTGGGCAGGGTTGTACCAGTGATTCGCTCAGCAGTCCTGACTATCCGCTGCAATCTTCTAAGGTCTGATTTGGTAGCTGAGCTGAACCAGACACACAGAAGTGCCAGAGAACGGATTCAATGACTGCAGAGTAGAACTATCAGCAGCTCCTGTGGCAGGTTGAACTTCCTCAGCTGGCGAAGGAAGTACAGCTTCTTCTGGGCCTTCTTGACAATGGAGTCTATGTGAAACTCCCACTTCAGGTCCTGAGAGACGGTGGTGCCCAGGAACTTGAATGACTCCACTGTTGTCACAGTGGGGGGGGGGAATCTTCAAAAGGCAGTTTCAAAAATCTTGTTTTATTTTGTTGACATCTTAGTCAATTTTTTTTTACAATTGACTTTGGATATCTGCTTTTATCACTCCATAAATCTGAAAATACAGTCAAAAGCCAATAAATGAACGAACGAACGAACGAACGAATGAATGTTTTTAGGAAGAAAAAAAATAAAGATAGAAATAAAAAAATAAAGATAGAAATAAAACTGTAAAGTTTGCTGCAGGTAGGTGCTACTGAAGTGGAGATTTCTGGCTAATTGCATGAGGAAAAAAGGCCTTTCTTTGAAATCTACAGACACAAATAGAAACAGTGCAATAAACTAAACACTTAAAAGTGTATTTTGGATGTTTTTGTCTGTAGTGTCTTCCACCTCATTTGCTCTTGTAAATATGTACATGCAGGGCCGTGCACAGACCTTTTGAGGGGCATGTGCTGAAATTGAAAAAGGGCCCCCCCCCCTAGTTCACTGCACTCAGTCAGTCAAGACTGGGGGCGGAGTTATGAGGTTTGACTGACAGTTTGAGCGGATCCAACAAGATTTAGTCACAAACTATTTTTAATACCTTTCATTCGCTAAATATATTTGTAAAACAGACAGACAGACGTAAAGGGTGACCAATAGCATTGATTTATTGAAGAAGAACAAAAAAAAAAAACTAAAAAAAAGGGCACTTCGGAGGGTAAGGACAAAAAGGGCATGTGCTCTGCACAGGTTGAGCCCTACCTGTTAACGTGCCTGTGTACATGTGTGAATCTGAATAAAACTTTCCAAGTGTTCTGAACTCAGCTTCTGTTGCTTATAGAGTGTGGAATGTCTTTCCTACAGGATTGGTTGTCATTATTGCACATTGTCTTATCCAACTAGAATTGCATAGGTTTTTTTTTTTCAAGTACCAAAGGTAAATTTCCCTCAAGTATAAGTGGGAATGATTAGCAATCAATCATTGTGGCAGTCCATACACCCCACTTCAGGATTACAGCTGAGCCCACTCTAATCTACCGGTTCAAAATTAATAACTTCATTGCTCAAGAACTTTGTCCTGAATCTCAGTTTCTCTTTGGGAACAAGCTGTGACATTTTCCAGGTCTGACTAATAAGAGTTTTTATGGCTTAACCTAGCATTTTTGAAACATTTTTCATGGCCCTGTGTGATAACCTGTGTATTGACTTACCATAACATGGTGAAGTAAAAACTCCCAAGATGCTTTTGCGTAGCCACTAAAAATAATGTCACCAGCATCCTGAATGAAGTAGCCTGTTGAAGGAGATCAATGCTGCATTTATTGACCAGACAAAACCTTTAAAAATCAATTGTGTTTAGTTACAAGAGGGATTTCAATATATCTGTCAATTTCCAGTCCCTGTATGTGGAACAGGTTCACCGTAGGGTCACTCAATCAGTGTTAAAGGGGTCATTGTTCTAATGACACATTGTTCTCCATGTACTACCATTGGGGTCAATTCCTTTTTTTTCCCAGTAAGAAATTATTACTTTTATTCAGCAAAGATGCATTACATTGATCAAAAGTGACATGACATTATAAAAATCTTCACTATTTCAAATAAATACTGTCCTTTTGAACTTTCTATTCTTCAAAGAATCCTGAAATGTATCACAGTTATTAAGAATTTGGCAGCACAACTGTTTTCAACATTAATAATAAGAAATGTTTCTCGAGCACTAAATCAGCATATTAGATTGATTTCTGAAGGATCATGTGACACTGAAGACTGGAGTAATGATAAAAAAATATTAACACAGACATCAGTTATTTTAAACCGTTTTATAGAAACATTTTTAATATGTCACAACATTACTTTTATTACTGTATTTTTGATCAATAAACTCTAGCTTTAACTATTTAAAGACTGTGAGAAAAACAGTTTTAAGATGTTAATTCTTGTCTAAAATATCATTCCAAAGACCTGAGTCACAGAACATCTTAAACTCTTATCAGGAGATCAGGGTTACACAGGATTGTTACATGGTTGAACATGCAGGAGAACGTGAGAATCAGAAAAATAAGATGCGTGTTACATACTTCCTACTTGTGTCAAGAGTCTAGGTTAACTGTGTTGTATTGCAATGTATGCAATACTGTATGATAGTGCAATGTGTTTCTGATATCTGCTGATGTGTTTACTGACCAGAGGAGACGACGACTAGCATGTATGCTGATGGGGTGTAGGTGGAGTGGATTTCATGCACCATCACAGGATGCTGTATGACACTGTTGGGACACAGATACATGCAAACTGTTGATCATATCAACCTGAGGATCAAAATACAACAGGCATGTGCTTAGTAACTGGTACTAAACAACACATAACAGAGTAAAAAAGTCCATTGCTGATAAAGATAAATAAATAAAAATAAAAAACACCCACAGTGGTGAAACTCTTGCTTGGTTTGAGGGATGATTCATGCTATGGCAATTATATGGGTGTATTTTTTTTTAGTTAGTTGCACTCTCATTCTCTCATTCATGCTTGTCCAGCAGGTTTTTCCTGTTTCCAAACTAAGAGATCAGTAACTGAAAGTGAAGTGCTGTTCATGAACATTCAATAACTTTTGTTTATTCTTAGACATTGCTATTAGTGCAAACTACAACGTCTAACAACAAACACAAGCTATTAAGATTTCAACAAAACAACTATAATATGCTTTGACTCCATATGTACTTGAGATACTGAACCTCTGCAGTGTCTTACTCAGTATTTTGCTTTGTAAAAATTATTTAAACATCCTTAAAATATGAGGAATATTCTAGGGCAATTTATTAGACATTGTCAACAATTAAATAAAACATTTAAGTACATTTATTTATATTTTAAGGATTTGTAAATAATAAAATAAAGTGATTTCAAGTTCTTGCTGTAAAACAAATCACTGAAAAAAAAAGAAGAATAAAAAACAACAACTCACCAGGCGACGGCCCAGATGCCAGTCAGCAGTGAGTGGACGAGTGACACTGAGAGGTTCCTCCATTTCCAAGTCCTCCAGGGGTCTGTGTCCACTGTCCCGGGACTGGGCACAGTCTGCAGGAACCTGTGAAGGATCCTGAAGGTTACAGAACAGCACAAGACATACAGGCCTGGATGCTTCTGGACTTCATTCAGCCATGTGTCCATCCTCCACACTCTTTATTCTGCGTCTCTCCTTTTCTCAGACAGTGAGTCCTTGTTATGTTGTTTCCTTGCTGATCTAAAATTTCAGTGCCCTTTCCAAAATAATCCACATGAATTGCATTCAGATTCTTGAACCAGTCCTGTCTTTTTTTTCTGCTTGTAATTGACGAGTCTTCCTTACACCCCTACAGACTCCGTCTACACCGTCTCGCTCTTTCCTCCACGTGCTGGTGCCTGTCATAGGTGTGGTATCTGTCACAGTACCTGTTTGCTGAACACTGATTGGCTGATGATGAATGGATCTGTGGGAGTGTTACAACAAGGAATGACAGCTGTATCTCTTTCCCTTGAACTTTTTGTGTCCATCTCCCTGTATTCAACAATCCAGCCAAACGTTCTGTACATGTAGTGATAGAGCCGTGTCAGCTGTGTGTGTGTGTGGGTGAGTGGGGAGCACAACAGAACAATAGAAGCCATTTAAACTCACAGTCATACTGCTGTCCCTAATAAATGAAATGGCTTGTGTCCTGCAGCTGGATCAAATGACTTCACTCATACTGGCACAGCAGAGGAATGGCTTACAGAAAACAGTTTGTTGTGTTTGGTCAGCTTTCAGTTGTGATATGAGCAGGGCTGGAAATGGGCCCCTTTGCGAAAATGAACCATGGTTTTATTATAGTATAAGTGCAGTAACCATGTTTTTTGGCATTTTGATGGCAACTATGGTTATTGTAGTAAAACCATGGTTAATTTGTGGTTACCATATATACAGGTGCATCTCAATAAATTAGAATGTCGTGGAAAAGTTCATTTATTTCAGTAATTCAACTCAAATTGTGAAACTTGTGTATTAAATTCAATGCACACAGACTGAAGTAGTTTAAGTCTTTGGTTCTTTTAATTGTGATGATTTTGGCTCACATTTAACAAAAACCCACCAACTCACTATCTCAACAAATTAGAATACTCCATAAGACCAATAAAAAAAACATTTTTAGTGAATTGTTGGCCTTCTGGAAAGTATGTTAATTTACTGTACATGTATTCAATACTTGGTAGGGGCTCCCTAATTTATTGAGATGCACCTGTATATATGTAGTGTGTGTGGGGTCTGACATCTGGACATGCCTAGTAGTTAACGTCATGATGGTACTGCAGTGCTACAAAACTATAAACTTTTTACCACAACAATAATAGCAATGTACAGTCAGCGAATTGCAAGATTTACTAGTCACTACTTTTGTAAATGATTGCAACCACAATTAGGAAATATTTTTCCATGAAAATTCAAATATTTTTCTATTAATCTATTAGTCTGCATTTACATTGCTTAATGAACATCTATTTTGACAAATTATTTTTCAAAATTTCGAAAACTGTCATAATAAAATGAAGACATAAAACATTAACAATTTAAATAATCTTTTAAAATTCATGCTTTTTTAAACCTGTCTTGGAGCCCCGCCCCATTAACAGCTAAAACATGTTTGTGTATATAAAATGAATCCCGCATTTATGTGAGGGATGATGGATATGTCACTCCTGAAACTTTGCTGCTTGTACAGTATATGGCCCTTAGCACGAAAAACATATTTTATTTAAATTCTGAACGGATTATATTTAGCATAGAAAGTGCAAAAAAAGCACTTCCTTTATATTCAATAAAAAGGTGTCACTTCAGTTCATCGCGATCTCACAAAGTTCCTTCATAATCAATGAACCTCTTATTTACATCGTTTTACAGTGAGAGGATTTGGGAGCGATTCACATAATCCGGCGATTATTTGAACGGAATGGCCAATCAGAGGAGTTCACGAATCAACAGATCTATCTGTGATTGGCTACATTGCTCAACGCTACAAAAACACATTGTAAATAGAAACTTTTGACGTTCTCAAGAGCGCAAACACGAATACGCAAATACGATTTGGTTAGTGTTTACCAAATCTGTTTCGCCAATATCCTATTATGTATATTTATCTTTAACTGTAGAAGCTGCTAAATATATTCAGCCAAGCTAACAGACTTGTTGTTGCTGTAGTTTCGTTATTCTGAATTTATTCTGAACCACTTAATGCACAGCTCTGTTTTTGCCATCGGCTCGTCAGATGTTTTGTTCCATCTGTTGCTTTATCACGGTCAATCATAGCAGATTCACTCGCTTAATTTTTTACACTCGCTTTTGTCGTTCCTGAAACTGTATACGTGGACGTTTGGTCCTCTTAGACAAACAAAACTTTTCTTCAAATTGTGAATGGATTATGTAGAGAAACCGAGCAAAGGGTGCTCCCCGTATAGCACAGCTGATTTTGACAGTTGACCGGAAATGACTGAGCTGGCTTATCTAAAACCAGGAAGTAACTGTGCATATATACAACTGCACCCCTAATAGCACACGTACATCACATCAAAAAGACGTTTAGAAGATGTCTTTAAGATGTTTATGATTTAGAATGAATGTAAAACTGACATCTTAAAGGTGTCTATCAGATGTTTGTACACAGCAGATGCTTTCCAGATTAAGCGATCATTAGCAGACGTACCTGTGCTACCTGGATATTATCTGGACATTACTTTGATTACATATAGTAAGAATAAACATTCAGGAAACGTTCTGTGCTCTATTTTTTTTTATCTGCACCATTTGTTTGAATCTGTACTCTATTTTTTTAATCTGTGCAATTTTTTTATTTGTGCTCTATTTTATCTGTGCTTTATTTTATTTAAATCTGTGCTTTATATTTTTAACTGTGAACTTTTTTAATCTATGCTCTACTTTTTTTATCTGCACCATTTTTTATCTGTGCTCTATTTTTTTAATCTGTGCATTTTTTTTATTTGTGCTCTATTTTATTTAAATCTGTGATCTATTTTTTATCTGTGCTCTATTTTTTAATCTGTGCACTTTTTTAATCTGCTCTATTGTTTTTATCTGCACCATTTTTTTAATCTGTGCATTTTTTTTATTTGTGCTCTATTTTATCTGTGCTCTTGATCTATTTTTTATCTGTGCTCTATTTTTTAATCTGTGCACTTTTTTAATCTGCTCTATTGTTTTTATCTGCACCATTTTTTAAATCTGTGCATTTTTTTTATTTGTGCTCTATTTTATCTGTGCTCTATATTTTATCTGTGCTCTATTTTTTTTATCTGCGCTCTATTTTTTAAATCTGCGCTCTATTTTTTTAATCTGTGCTCTATTTTTTGTGCTCTATTTTATCTGTGCTCTATTTTTTTATCTGTGCATTTTTTAAAATTTGTGCTCTATTTTTTGTGCTCTATTTTATCTGTGCTCTATTTTTTTATCTGTGCATTTTTTAAAATTTGTGCTCTATTTTTTGTGCTCTATTTTATCTGTGCTCTATTTTTTTTATCTGTGCTCTATTTTTCTTTTTTTAATCTTTTAAAAATCTGAATCTGATAAAATCTAAAATGTTCTATTTTATTTTAATCTGCCATATTTTAATTTTTTTGTCTGTTTGTTTGCCCTGTAACTTTAGTTTTCGCTGCAGCACAAGGTCGGCATTGACGGCATTGAG